GCTTTGAATTAGTCCTTCAGTCGCTATCTCTGAATTCAAAAGAGCAAAGAAAACTTGCTTAATTCACTTCGTCGAGAACATATAAAGTTATGACTGAAATTGTTCGGTTCAAAGTTAACTTCATCTCTCTTAGATAGAGCTAGAGCTTTAGAGGTCTTTAACCGTGGAGTACGCGTACAGTTTCGGGTGTTTTAGGCTTCAAAACAATTGTCAACGTCTTCGTTCCTTCTCATGTGCAGTTTGCATAATTAATTTAAGTTGGGCGTGAATAGCCCTTTTCACGGTTAATTTTTCTCATTTGCATTACAATGTAATCCAACGTAAATGCGAGGCAATTTCGGGCTAAGACTACAAAATAGCCCGAAATTGCCCCACATACAAGCTAGATTTTATCGTAATGGAAATGAGCAAAGGTAACCGTGAAAAGTGTCTCGACCAGAAAAAGAAATGTGATTGGTTCACGCTACCAAAGCCGCACGGATTTTTACTGTGGCAGTGCGTTGGTTATGCTAATCAAATGATTGTCTTCAAGGTAAAAACATAAACATTGTTCGCGGAAAATAGATTTCTACAAACGTATAGACACAGTCAGCTTGCTACCACAAAACAAAAACGTTGACCCTCCCTTTCGGTGGAAAACTGCACGGATTCTCATAGAAAAGCAAAAAAACATATATATATTTATTAGAAAACACTTTGTAAGAAAGCGCGTGAAAAACTGTATTCTATTTAGCAATTAGATTATTCGCTCTCGACTTCTATGAGGTAATAGCTGATGAAACAGAATCAACTATCACCTCGTAGAAATCGAGAGCAAATAATCTATTTGTTTTGGTGGAATTCTGGCCAAATATCTTTTAAAAAACTATTTCCAATTATTTTTCCAGATATTAAGTAATGAATTCTCCAGTTAAAATGAACAATTAAAGCATCGTCTACACGAGCAATTTTTATGTAACAATTGTTATGCGACAATTTTTATTTGAGCGTGTAGATGAGGAAAATTGCCCAAATATTTTTGCTGAAAAGCTGGCGTGTTAGCGTTTATGTGACAAATAAAAGTTGTCAAATACGAAAAATTGCGCACGTAGACGACTCGTCATTATTGGGTCGTCACGCAACGCTTCTCTTTTGCGCGACGACCGGCGAAGTAACGGCTGCAAAGGAGACTGTGTCTCCAAGGGTGGTGGTTGGTCTACATGAAAAGAGTCTTTAATGGTTGTAAAAATCTCAAGGGACAGCCTCGGATACATCATATCGCTCTTTTTTTTTTTCTTTCTCTCTCTCTTTCGTTAGCCCAAAATCGCTTTACTTCCACGTTCAATTGTATTTCTATCCGATCGTTGAAGGCAGTGGTACGCGAGAGAACTGGACCGGCCAAGTGCAAAACGGGAGACTTCACGGGGTAGTGGGTGGGGACCGAGATAAACATTCTTTGTTTGACTCGCTTCGCTCGCATCCTCGCTCCTCCCAGATTACGCTTTCGCGATCACTTCACTCGCTTTTTCCATCGCGTGCGTTGAAAAAATAGAGAGAATGTGAACAGTCTACCATGTTCATTCTTAACATAACTATTCACTTCATGTAAGTAACTTGTATCATTTCAAAAATTAAAAATTACTCATACTTCAGAAGTTTTAGTTTCAACAGATGTAAGAACCTCTAAACACGTGACGTTTTACAACGTTTAAGCTCGACAGGGTACTTCGTTTTGTAATAGGAGACCCTTGAAGTTCCAAGCAGTTATGCGTTCACGTGGCATTAAAATGGCGAACTTTGCGTTTCAATAGCAAAAACTCAATGAAAAATCTTTCTGTTACTTTACGGCCGCCATGTTGGTTCCCACCTATCTGGATGGGCACCAACATGGCGTCTCCATACAAAGCTCTATAAATTTGTGTGAAACACTTCCGAATAACGCGCGAATGAAACACCAGACAGACCAGGAGCCATAATCGGGGGCGGAGACCGTAAGCGCGCGCCATTTCAAGTATTGGCGTTGTCACCATAATATGGGACAATAATTCTATTTTTAGAACAAATTGCGCCATCACCTGCGGCACACGCGCGTACAT